GAGGAGGAGGATGAGGCCGCCGCGCTACCCCCCACCAGCGCAGCTGGCAGCGCGTCGGCTGCCAGCCGGGAGTTTGAGGACCGGAGAGCGCAGCAGGAAGACAGCGAAGAGCTGGAGACGAAGGCGGTGGGCTTCTCCCCGGATGGCCGCTTCCTGAAGTTTGACATCGAGATTGGAAGAGGCTCTTTCAAAACTGTCTATAAAGGACTGGATACGGATACCACTGTGGAAGTCGCCTGGTGTGAGCTACAGGTAAAAGAAATAAAAATTGTGAATTGCCAGAGTGGAGTCACTCCCAGGTGGTGGGCTGTGTGCTTGAAAGAGGTGAAATCCGTCAACTCGAGGTCTGCTTTATTCAGCCAGGGAGCTGCAGACCTTACCTGAGGCACTCCTTTGGAAGAAAGGTGCACCCTTTCCTTGGAGTCAGTTTGCCTTTTAATTCTTTTAAATACTCTGCTCTCTGAAGAATTTTTTGGCTTTATCGTCAGAAAATGTACTACAGTTCGGTTTCATACAGCATCTTGCATTTTATGCCTCCAAAAGGTAACTTAGGGGGTTGTAAAAATACTTGTACACAGCTTCAGGGAGGCTCAGGGGAAAATGTGTAAATGGATGTCAGCCTGAGCTGACAGCTTAATTTTTCAAAACTTTTTTAGGTATTTTTCTTAGCAAAAAATACCAAAATGTTAATTTCACAGACATATTCATATGTCTGTGGCAATGGGTGATTGTAGGAGGTAACCCTAGAGTACACACAAAGTCATGCAGTGCATCACACTGCTTAGTTTTGCAAAGCTAATTTTTTTTTTTTCATTCTGAGTGCTAGGGTTCACACTTAAACAGGTACAAGGAAGGGAAGAAAGTAATGTTGCCTTTCTGAAGCTTTAATAAAAACTCCTGAAGTTTAACCTTTCCAGATGACTGGTGGATTAAACCGGACTGAGACATTACTCTTCTACCAAGTTTCTGGCTTGAGCAGAGCCAGAGTAGTTCTGTAGAAGCCCAGTCTAACGATGGCAAGAACACGCTTAGTTCTACAGGAGTCAGAGCTTGTATAACCAAGATGCAGGTTGCTGTGCAACAACCTTAAAAGAAGTGAGAAGAACTTGGAGTACCTGGAACAGATACCTGGTGTACTAGGTTATTTCCAAAGCCTCGGCATTAAATGAAAAGGATAGTGCTTATTGTTTTTGTGTTGGGTTTTGGTGCAATCTATAGAGGGATTCATGTAGTATGGCTTTATTATTGTGTGTGTTTGTGTTCCTGTCCAATCTAGAGCAGACAAAAGAGCATTGGGTCAAAATCCCAGAAGTCTTCAGGGGGTTTTTAAGGAGTCAGCTGCTCACAATTGATTGATTGCAGTGACTATACCAAAACTTTCCTCTCCTCAAAAGCAATTTTATATCTGTTCCAGTCAAACTGAGAGAATTTATGAAGAGATCTCTCAATTTGTATTCATATTTGTTTTTGGATGATTGCTCAAGCATTCTTGGTTGATTATGTTGCCATTATTCTACACCTACTGACGGTGGAAATAAGCTTACAATTTTCTTTGTGACCATAAAGCATGCCCTGCTCCTCATGCTAGCTAGGCATTTGCTGTGGCGGTCTTTTGAGCATTAATTCTAAATCTAAAAAGTGAAATGATCCAGTGTTTGGCTCCGCTTAAGCTTTTCATGTGCAGTTTGAACTGAGAGGAGATTAATAACCCACTGAAATTATTTGAAATTTTAATCTTTGCGGTTCTGGAGTTCCTTGACTTTAACCCCTGAAATCTGTTTCGATCTTTACACTTTAGTTACTGATCAGAAGTAGTGTCAGCTTGGCATCAGTCACTTTTCACTAACATTGCCTTTGTTGAAGTGTCTTAATCATCATCAGTACCGTGTGGACAAAATGTCTAAAGAAGCACCTTCTTTGAAGTAATGTAATAAGGAAGCTCATTTATAAAGGGTATGTTGCTGAGCTGTCAGTTGATTGAAGAATTTCATGAGTAGTATTTAAAATGAGAGAGTGCAAAAGGCATGAATGAAAATATTTGTGTGGGGGAAATATTTGATGTTGTTCTTGGAGGTTAACAACAGTACAGGAGTGTCTTGTGGTGAAGTCATTCTGAAGGCTGTAGCTTTCTTCTTGTAAGGAGGCTGCATATAAAATGACAAGTTTGAAACAAAAATACAGTTTTTGTAGCTGTTGCAAGTATTTGCTAAAGGAGGTAGACTCTACAGCCAGTAGAATATTTTCACATTAAGTCCTATTTTGTTGTTTGCATTTAGAAATAAAAGGAGGAACTTGGTATTTGTTGCTATGATGGGAACATCCTATTCTTTCTCTAGGAAAATATAGTTGTTGGCAGGTGAGTGCTGTTTGTCTCGCGCGATTTGAAGCGAAATACAATCTGGATTCGCAAAGATGGACTGATACTTAGATGTCATTGGTTTTCCAGAATGCCATGGTTTGAGGATTGGTGAACCTCAAAGCATAGTTATTTTATTAGGAAATTCCATGCTGTATTACACCAACCATAACTAACTGATGGTTACTTTTGATTGTCTTGAAATAGTGTTACTTAGCAATAGAATAGGTTTTCTTCTCTGTATTCATGCCAGCGAGCGTGGGCATCCTAGGTATCCCACCTCTCTTGAGTCTTCTCAACAGTGCTGCTGTATTGCTGCTGGGATGAGGCAGCTTAGCATGATTCTGCAGACTGAGTGGTTCCTCACATGGCTTGTCCAGGGTTGATAAGATGTATCGCAGTTCTTGACTGTAAGGTGTAGAACAGAATCAGGCAAGAACAGTTCATGCTTTTGCGGAGTCTTTGAGCGCTTGCTGTTTTGAGGCTTTTCTAGCGTACCTTGAACGCTTCATTTTCTTTAGAATCTCTGCTGTATGGAAGGAAGCAAGATGTCAGCTGCGGTCATCTCGGTTAGACTACAGTGTTTAAATATTGGAGCGAATTCTGTAGTAGAAATCTGGTGGATCAAGGACAGCACAGAAGACTTTGATGGTGTCTGGCAGGATGGCTTTGTAATACTGAATCAGGTAACCGTGCCTGATTTTATGTATGCGCTTTGTAGTGATAAACAAAATCCTAACAAAGATGTGACTGATGGACTATTCTGGTTTACTTTGTGGCCTGTGTGAAGCAAATTGTAACTGAACCTGGTTTAAATATTAGGTGCAGCTGTTTAAATGTGAAATATCTGCCCTGCTGTGAGCATAGTGGACCTGTGAAGAGCTCAGGAGCAACTGCTTAGGGCCAGTGCTCGGCTTCAGTTACTAGGAGGAAATTGTTAGTGTAGTGTTAGCCTTCAAGTACTTTTATTCCCATTGTATATGTTCATCTCGACTCTAGTTACTCTGAGTCAAGTGTGCCTCCTACTGTTGTCATTAGCACATCTCATAAATTTGGTGAAGTAGTAGTTAGGGTTACTGCTTTAGTGGTGTTTAAGTAGGTAGAAGTTGGCAAAAGTGCTTACCGCTGCTGTCTTCTATTTTAATTTAAAATAACTCTTCTTGTACAGTTGTGTTACTGGTGAGTCTGTTTAAAATTACATTTCTGAGCAGTGAGTCTTTTTTCGCCTCTGTACAGTTCAGGTAACATTGTGGCTAAAATCTGATGCCTTTTCCTGTTTTATTGTTTATCTGTGCGAGGTAATACTCTTATGGCAAAGGTAACAAGGGTCACATATTTGACTGTAAAAGCCAGATCTTGGGGGTAATGTGTCATCCTCCGAGTCCCTGTTTCAGTTTGAGTTGGTTTTAAATCAAGACTGTCATTTAACTTCTGGTTTACGAACAATACAGGGTGGTGCAGTCAACTTGCTGGACTGCAAAATCTTGTGTCTAGAATTATTGCTGTGGGTTCTGCCATTCAAATTAGTAACTTTTCAAATGCGAAAGCGCATTAGGTGATATGGAAGGCAAATTTGGGTCTTTTTCAAACCTTGTATTTGTTGGTGACGGCTTTCTTTTGGGCAGTGTCTTCTCTTAAAGGAAGCACAATTTAGAAACTTATTACAAAATATTTACATTGGTTGAAAATGCATTCTGGTAAGCTGCATGCATTGGAGAAGTGCACTGCTTCTCTGGCATGTGCTGTATCGCTCCTGTCCTTTGTATTGCTTTGACAGAAAGGGTGGATTGGTCAGTCAGTAGTTACAGTTGGTGAATGCATCTCCTTGCTGACATGTCACTTTGCCATGCTTACTCTGGCTTCAGTGCAGCGTTAGGTTATTGTGCTGAACATGTGAGTGGGAGAAGGGGGCTGGGGGCTGTCTCTAAACGAGGTAGAGCTTCTGGGGGTAAAGAAATGCGTTCAAGAGGTGGAAGTGGTGGAAGACGACTATGTTGTACTCATTACTACTTTGAGGGAAAGCTGAATGTGAATTTAGTTACCTTTAGTTAGAAATCTGAGTAATAAATGAGTGTAGGTTACATGCATGCAATTCTGTTGCAGACTGTTAACTATAGATGAAGTGTACAGATACTCCAACTTAACAAATGCTTTTATCTTTGCGTAGGCAGTAGCAATGGAAAAACAGTTGAGAACAAACATAATATGGTCAACTGTGAACCATGAGATTCTGTAGTGCACTCTGGTAAGAATTATAATGCAACTGGTTGTCACTCCATTACAGGAGGTAATGAGGTGCTAAATAATATTTCCATAAGTCAGAATTTTTGAGTGTAATAGTGTATAGAAGTCAACTTAAAGCAGTTCAGGAAGTTGCTTAGATACAATGTACATCTTCACTTTTAGTGGTGCTTCAGAGTTACCTATTTTTATCCCTTAGACTTAAAGCTTTATTTAATACTGATTTTTAGGTCAGCAGACAGCAGTGGAATGTAGTTTCTATACTCTGGGGTATAGACTTCACTGCAGGCTCACCGTGATAAATATCAGCTTACTGAAGTTAAAGTATAATTCTTAAAAATCTGTTTGCTTTCTGGACTGGCTGAGCTGAGAATGTTTTAGAAGCTGCACGTTCAAGTCTGACAACCAAAAAAGGTCTGGTAACCCATAACTGTGGGATCCTTTAGTCTTTTTTTTTTTTTTTTTTTAAAGCTGGTTGCATATTGCTCACTAGGAGGCCTGACTGCAAAGATGCTAGCTCTGCTGAACAATCTAAAGCAAAATGGAAAACCAGATCAAAATCTTTGTGCAGCGAGATGAAACTGAGGATTGTGGACCTGGAATTTGTCAGTTTAAGTGCCATTGGAAAACGGTTACATTCTGCTGGTACGGGAGG